TTTTTTTTTCCAATGCTTGTCAAGATATTGGTGGTTGCGGGTTGCCAATTAGTAAATGCAGTTTAATAGTGCTATACCTCAAGTAGATGAGGTGGGTGGTGGATGACGACGTAGTTCTTTGTCTTTTTGTGTAATGAAATGACTGTCTTGTTTCTTTGGTGGTTTGATGTTTTAACACAATAGTCACAATGGAAAAATGGTAGTAATCAGACTTGATAATCTCAAACACAAACACCTTTATATGATTGCTTAGGTTGGTCTTTCAACTTGTTGATGTACATTAAGGTAAACCTGCACTCAATCACAAACCTTTGTTTGATCCTAGCACATTGATCGGTGTTTATCCAATTCCTCAACGATTATCAGTAAGACATGTACTTCTTAGTATTAAATGATTTTGTTATAACAACAGAGAGTTCATATAATGGGGTGAAAGAAATTTTGAAAGTGGCAGATTTATGATGGATCTCTCCCTCTCTCTCTCTCACACCCTCACTCTCTCTCCAAGGAGTGAGATTATAAATAATGAGAGATGAATTGGATAATTTGTTCTCCGTGGTGCCTTTAAGTGCTAAAGATGGTTCTTGTTTAGAGTTTTAACTGTTTTGCATTTTTCAAAATTTTTTTCTTGCCTATGTAGTTTAACATGTCATTTTCCTCCTCATTGAGAATGCTTGAATCTATATTTACTGTATCACATTTGTTGTAAAATCTTCCATGAATCATGATGTGTAATATTATCTGTAAGTTGGAAGTACTCTGTTCCCAAAGTGAAGAATTTGTTGTTCACGCTCTTCATAACTTCTGCATTTCTAATAAAGGCAAGGGGCATAGCACAATTCATGATTTTTAACCTTCAGCAATTGTTCGATTGTTTTGCTTTTGGTGGACTTTTTGTATCACATATCTTAATGTTGTATGCACTATGCTGTTCTGCTCCTGTAGGCGCTTTGTTTGTTGTACTTTCTTTGGGTTGGTTTACGTTTATCTTTATGTGGTGAATCTTTTGAACAACGGTCCACTGGTGCTTGTGAGTTATACATATGTAATGCACTTAAAATATGTTTTAGCATGTTAGAAGTCATATTTGCCATTGAAGATTGACATTTTCACCGTAGGTTTGCAGTTGCTAGTATATGGGACTTAAGTTTGAGGTTATAGATCGAACTTTGTCACCTTTTGACTCACTTTGGTCAACGAATTGACATTTGAATCATGCAATACCCATTATTATTACCATATTTTTTTTATTTTTTTTTTTGTGGTCTGATGTTGATTATCTTGTTGCTTAAAATTTGAACTATTGAGGATTGACATCTAAATCTTGACCGTAAATCAATTTGCTGGTGATTTTTCAGATATTTAATTGATGATGTCTCTTATCTCGTTTATCTGATTGTACGAGTGTTGAATTCTACTGTCCTTGGGCACTTGTCCCGTGTTAATCGCAAGTTGCATCTGAAATGTTTTGTTGCCCTATGTATGGTCCTCTGGAAAGAAGAAAAACGGGGAAAACATGCAATCGGGTGTCAGAATTAGATTTGAGTCGGTTGGCTATGGAAACCACTGTGATTTCCAAATTGATTTGATACAGATTTAGGCTATGTTTGGTAAAACTAGCTGATAAGCTAGCTGATAGCTGATAAGCTAGCTTATAGCTTATATGTAATTTTTGAGCTTATGACTTATAGCTGAAAAGCTAGCTTATATGATAAAAAGTGTTTGGTAAATAAGCTGATAAGCTAGTTGAAATAAAAAATTCAACTAGCTTATTTGAAAAGCTACCAAATAAGCTCGAGCTTTTTAAAAAAGCTCGTCCTACCAAACGAGACTTATTTTAATAGAGGGAGCTTATAAGCTAACCAAATAAGCTATAAGCTAGCTTATTTGGCTTACCAAACATACCCTTAGTGGTTGTGCATACTGTTTCATAGTGGCATGAACAAGTTTGTTCTTTAAAGGTAAATGCTTCTATGAAGACAGGTATAATCTATTGTGGTGAAGAAATATCAAATACTTTTGTGAGAGCACAATATAGGTTTTGAGTAAATGGTCATATTTTTGTCAAATGGTTGTCTTTTGAAGGTTCAGTGATTAGAAAATGTTCGAAATATGCGAATGAGAAATGGTAATCTGGAGTAGCTGTAACATATATGGTTGAACCTCAAATTGTGGTATGACAGTTGTTTTGTCTGTTTAGTTTCTACTGCTGAGTAATGTGGCTATGCTCTTACGCATTCAATTGGTCGGCTGACCTTTTGTCAATGTTATAACTGGATTGCTAATATTTCTTTTTTCTTTTTTTTGGAGATATTATAATTGTATTGCTATTAGTTTTATAGTCCATTGCATTGGATCTCTTGAGTTGATAGCCCTTTATGTGGGTAGATTTCGTCTTACAGGTTATACACCTAGTTTCTTACAACTTGATCAACACACACTCATCTCTCATGTGAGTATATATGCGTATGCGTTTGATACAACGGTGAGAACTTGTAAGATTGAATCTACTCTTCATATGTAGTTGGTCGTACTTTGTAGTTTTAAGTCCCAATTGTGCTGCTTGTCCTTTGCAACTTTTATTATCTCAGGCCAAATTAGTGATGGTGGCTTATGGTACTTACCAGAAACACTCTAAATATCCGGATTGGACGATTAATCAAGATACGTAATTTGGGTCTTGGCTATGAATCTCCCAAGTTTTAATCTAGTTCACATGCATCTGGAAAAAAAATAAAAATTCAAAACCAATTTGTTATATGTAATGTATGACAAGATAAGAATGTATTAGAACTCTTGAGGCAAAGTAGATAAAAACATTGATTAGCCGAAACCTAGCATGCGCTTTTCTGCAGCATGCTCAGGCTGTCGACGGTCAGTGTCTGATATTACACACCTCGAAAGATTACCTAAAATGGAGCACAAATGGAGAGGGATGAGTTCGTAAGAACCTTTCATTTTGATGGCGATTGTATCGTAATTTTGATGTGTCCACCAGTCGTGTTAAGATTTCGTGATTTTTCAACTACATATAGAACGTGTATGCTATGTCAATTTTCTGCCATATTAGTTGTTGGTCAAGTTAACTTGTGCTTAGGGACCGAACGTTCGCGAATAAAAGCTCGTTTGTGCTTGTTCGTGTTCGACAAGAGTTTATTTGTTTGTTAATCAGGTCGAGTTATAACAAAAAATTAGGCACGTTTAATAATCTAACGAGCACGAGCTCGTTTGCAAAAGTTCTGTAATGTTCGTGTACAGTAATATCAAATAATTTTATTCTATTTTTATACACTTATATGATATTTTTAATAAAAAAATATAACTTTTTTATTCTATTATTTTTTTTTTTAGTCTCTAACGAGTTCAATCGAACAAATTATGAGTTAATCAAACAATTTTAAAACGTCCTTTCCTAAATTTTTTTTCGAACACAAAAGAGTTTGAACACGAGTTTTCGTTCGAAAAATAAACAAATGTACACGAACAATGTTCGAACGTAAATGGACACGAGCTCGAGGTACCCAAGCTCGACTCGTTCGATTCATGCCACTTCTACTGGCGATTAGATATTGGACTTTTGTCTTCACAATCAAGGTTTTATCCGCCAGTACAAAGACAAAAATGACCAGAAAAACATAACTGTCAAACGGTAATCTCGTTGAAATGAGATGGGTCTATCTTAATTTTCTTTTATTTTTTCTCAACGTTTAAAATTAGTCTCTCTCATTCTTTAATTTTCGTATAGAGCAAAATTGTGTCCCTTTCCCCGTCAGGCTTCTGGGATTTTCTTTAATTTCTCAGAAGCCCTTTTTTTGGCAGAAATCGAAAAAAAGGTAAAATAAAATCTTTATCATTTTTTTTATTCACTATTTTACTTATTTTTTTTTCTACTTCATTTTGATCACTTCTTTATTGAAGAATGTAAAATTAAAATATTAATTTTCCTCTCAGAATCTATTAATTAATCTGGCATTAATTAATTAATTAATTAATTGTTTTAGTTTATTGATTGCCAATTGCCATGCTTTGAATATATTTATTTATTCATTTTAAACAATTTTCACATCAATGCCTGATTAATTTTGCCAATTTATTTAGAAAATATTGTCAACCAGGGAAACTTTTGAGGATGATTGAAGATTTCATTTCCAGGAGTTTGATGTATGTATATTTTTTTTTTATTTAGTATTTTTTTTTTATCAAAATTAGAATTTGAGAATGATTACTCTCAATATTTATTATTAATTTATATATTATTTCAGAATGTAATGTCTCTTGATATCCATATATATATATATATATATAAATTGTTCAGATTGGCTCTTGGATATGCATATCCTGCATTTTTGTGTTTCAAGACTTTAGAGAAAAATAGAGTTGCCATTCAAGAACTCAGATTTTGGTGTCAATATTGGTGAGTATTTTGAGTGAATATTGGCATTTCTAAAGTTTATTCAATTGAAAAATGATTGGGCTTCCATTATATATACTTCACATAAGTAATTTATGTGGTGAAATCGGATTATTTTCGTATGGAGTCATCCATAATTTCATATACTGACACATGGCCAACATGTATTTATTGCAGGACATGTGTCAATACACCATTTGTAAATAACTATATATAGCTCCATAAACTGAGCCATCCGATGACTCCATAGCAAAATCGAATTCACATAATTTTTCGTATGTCTACTATTTATTTAACAAGACTGCTATAAGGTTGACTCAAATCATAGTTTTTTTTTTTTAAACAAATACAAACAACAACCTTAATCATACTTTATCAAACACAAACATATATACTTTCACATTGAAATGTCATACTCTAATAAACAACGACAAAAATACATTTTTAGTCATGTTGGTTTAACACCACAATAATTTTAGTCCTAATGTTCCAACTTTTTGCCTTTTTGGTCATATGATTTAATATTTTGCTGCAATTTCAGTTATTTGAGGGTTGAACTGCAACCTATAAATTTGAGAATTTGTTGTAATTTCACTAAAGGACGAAAATTGCAGCAAACTATTAAACCACAAGACCAACAGGCAAAATATTAGAATCTTAGGACTAAAATGCTATGGCGTTAAACCAACAGATTAAAACTGCAATTTAGACAACAAACAACATAAAACAAGAGCGCGTGATATTTTACAGTGCAAATATATATTTTTGTTTAAAAAATATGACGACTCGACTTGCCTAATAGTTAGGTCGCGAGAGAATTTGTGTATGCTACTTTAAATATGTTTATTGGTTCATTTACATTCTCCATGCAGGACAATTGTTGCAGTTCTAACAGTTCTTGAGCATTTTTCTGATATATTTATTTCATGGTATGCTAATTGCTAGCTAAATTTGAGCAAAATTTTACTTCCCTTATTATTTTTTATTTTTTATTAATTTTTTTTTTTTTGCATTTCTTATTTTTATTTTATGAGGTTCATAATTATTTTCAATCTCTTATAAAAAAAATAGGCTGCCAATGTATCGAGGGATAAAGTTGGGTCTCTTCATCTACCTATGGCATCCAAACACAAAGGTTTTATTTCACTTGATTTTTCTCCCCCTTATTTTGCTAATTGTTTTTGAAAAAAATGTAAGATTGAATTAATTAGTTTTCAAATTATTTATCACAAAATGGAAAATATCATAACATTACTATATATTTCTAGAAATATAAAAAATCGGTAAATTATCATACTTTTATTTATGCTTATTCGAACCATTCTTGAAGCATATTATCGTCGAAAAAACAAATGATTTTCTAATCTAAATGTATGTCCGAAAACATTATATCTTATAAAATATCGTACTTTTATTGTCTATGTCAAAACATGTACACACAAATTACGATTATCGGTTGAACAATTTAATTATATATTAAATAAAAATTAGACCTTTGAATTTAATTATATATTTTATAGTACCATTTTTTTTTTTTTTTTTTTTTTTTTTTTTTTTTTTTTTTTTTTTTTTTTTTTTTTTTTTTTTTTTTGTTTTCCTTGCATTTTTTGTACTATTGCAATTTTTCTAACATTTTTCTAATTTTTGGCAATCATAGGGAAGTGAGTATGTTTATGAAACCTTTTTGCGGCCTTACTTGTTGAAGTACGAAGCCGATATAGATAGAAGTCTATTCGAGGCTAAGGAAAGAGCTTTGAACTCGGCAAATTATTATTGCCACCATTGCACTAAATTGGGTTCCAAATTTGTTGTTCAATTTTTCCAATTTTTGGTGTCACAATCTTCAAGCATTAAACAACCTTTTGGATCTCAGGTTGGTGATCTCTTTCCTCTTGTACTCACAACCAAACTATAATTAGTTTCACAATTAATGATGTTATGAGTCGGTCTAAACGATTAACTGGGTCGACCCGTCTTATTTTTCTAGTTAACGTACAATCAGTAATGCTGCTGGTGTTAGGCTGCCTAATGGTTTTTTTTCGACAAATGTACGTATTTTTATACTCAAATGTTAAACTTTAAAAAACAACGCAAGTATTAACATTTTCATAGTATAAGTAAGAACTTGTTAAGAAACTATGACTACTTAACTATTGGGCATTGTAACACCAAATTTTGTGGTGAAAATAAAAAATTGCAAATTTTATACTATGTGAAATATCATATATATTATCTTTTGTATTCTGTTTAAGGTATGATATTTGAATATAAAAATATGTTCATCTGCCGATAATATGTTACACTAGGTAACGTTTAAGCTTACCTTATAGTCCCGTTGAGTTAGCAAGCAATATCACTTTCTTTCGGCAACACGATCGATTTAATTCATTTTTGGTTCATTGAAATTCAGCTGCACAATGCCCAAAATCAACAATCTAGCACGACACATCCACTGCTGTCGAGCAAATCTTCCCGAATGCTCAAGAGGAGCATTTCCGACAAATGGCGGCCGCCTGTTCCATTAGTGGGGCCCATGGCCCCACATCTCAGCCAAGCGCCCAAATCCGAGTCCATGAAAGTCCGACACCAGAGCCAGACAAAGTTTATCCATGCCGAAAATAGTGGGCCCGGCGGCCAACCCGACGATGATGCAGATAAGATCAAAAGCCATTAGCGGATTTTACGGGTCAAACATATGGTGTAAGTGTAAATTATGTTATTCGGTAGCCCCATTTGGATTGTTGTAGCCTTATCAGTTATCATGGCTTGATTAAGTGTCAAACCTTTTGTCCGCTTGTGGTAAACTGCAAATGATACTACTTAGTATTTACTTGTGTCAGTTCTTGGATTGGTTGAGATGGTAAGCTACAATAAACTAATGTGTCTTTTTTTTTTCTTTTTTTTTTTTCAAACGAAAACAATTTCATTAAAACTCAAACAAACACGGAATTGTTTAAATGAACCACAAACACCTACTCTTACAAATTGCAAGAGAGATGATGCAACAGAGAAATGATAACTCATCCCCCTAAAGAGCCAACACGGCTAAATTACAACTATCTAGATCAAAAGAAGGACAACTAAACATACGTAAACTAAATAAAGTCTTAAGATACGTAATATCCTCAAACACAACAGAGCACAACAAGTCAGACAACCCCTCCACAGTCCCTTTTTGTAACACTGCAGCTAGGGGCTTTGATGATATAGAACACTCCACTTTTAGCGAGCCCCTATCCACAATAGTGCTCAAAGTCCACCGTACTGCAAGTAAGTTTGCCTCCAACAAGTTATTAGCCCATCTCCAACTGTTCTGCTCTTTCCACAAAGTAACCCCATCCTTGTAAGCTACTGCTCCTGCACCTACTGTTCCATCAAGAGAAGTTAGGGCAGTGACTTGTAAATTAACATGTCCTACCCTCCTGGAAAATTATTCATCTTGAGAAATTTTTGCTCACAGTTGCAGCTGCTATAGCCTCAGGTTGTTCATCATGCTCTCCTACCCCCTCCATCTCAGTCCAACCCTTCAAGGTGTCTGCAGCCACTTCAGTTTCCACCACCTTTGCTCCCTTGAACCAACAATTGTTCCTTGCCTTTCATATACTCAAGAGTAAGAAAACTGATAGAGTCATTCTGGCTTCCCGTTCTGCAGATTTTGGATGATTGCATATGCCTTCCCACCAATCTCTGAGGTTAAAATTCTTTCTTTTGAAGTCCTCCCATTCAAGCCCTATCAATTTCCAGCACCTAGCACTTGTCTGATAGGTCACAAACAAATGCTCAATGTCCTCCACTGCCTCACCACACATACTGCAGGTTTCATCTGTTTCCATGCCTTTACTCCTCATTGAAGTTTTGGCATTCAGGAACCCATTTAGGACCCTTCACATGAATGATCCGAGTTTAGGCAGGATCTTTAACCTCCAAGTCACTCTCCACATCTTTCTTGCTCTTTCATCACCTTTACTTTAACTGGCCTTTTTCATAGCTCCTGAAATTACATCATTGAAAAAACCATATGCTGACTTAACAGAAAAGCAACCTTTTTTTATCGGAGCCCAGACTAGTCTATCTTTCCTTCCATAGTGACTCAAATGAATCTTCAATATTTGATAAGCAATGTAAGGGGAGAAAGTTTGCAGCACCAGGTCTATATCCCATTCACTCATGTCTTGTAAGATCAACTCACTCGCAGTCCTCAAACTTGTCTATCTCTTGAGAATAATCAGTTTTGCACTCAAGTATTCCAGGAATCCAAGTGGAGTTCCTTATAGGAATTGAAGCACCATCCCCTATATGATATCACACCCCTTTCTTGAAAGAGTCCCTGACAGTCAATCAACTCCTCCACATCCAGGAGTCAGTATCTTTTTATTGAACATCAAATAAGTTGGTCTTATGGAAATATTTCCCTTTTATTATTTTTCTCCCTAACAAATTAGGATGGGTCAATACTCTCCACAATTGTTTGGAAATTAAAGTCTCATTAAAAGCCACCAGGTTTTTAAAAGCTAGACCTCCCTCATCTTTTTACCTAGCTAAATTAACCCAAGAGGCCCAATGAGTCTTATCATTCCCTTTATCATTTTTGCCCAACCAAAAGGAACTCACCACTCTACACAAGTCAGTACAAATAGAAATAGGTAACTTGAAGCATGCCATAACATATACCGGGAGAGCATTTAAAACAGTTTTGAGCAATATCTCTCTACCAGCATCACTGAGAAAGGCATTTTTCTAGTTACTCACTCTTTGTTTTACTCTCTCACTGTCAAATCTAAAGGTCTCTCTTTTTAGATCTTCCCACTTCTAAAGGACGAGAAAGAATTGGTTAAAAAAGAGTGGAATCAGAAAAGATCATTAGGATTAACATATTCCATAATTTTCATGAATTCATTATCCTATTGTCACATCATTAAAAACTCTAATTCCTATACTATTATTACTAATGTTCTTTTATGCGGTATAAATTAATTAGCAAATAAGTAGATTTCATGCTATCCATACGAGTGTATGTTGATCTAACGGTTAAAAACTCAATGACTGCACTGCAAGTTCGAAAACTTCGGTGGAATGTTGGTTATGAGGGATTCCCAACAACAAAAATAATAATAATAATAAGAAAAGAAAAAGAGTAACCGAACCACAAATTCCACGGTTCAAATCGTGAGCGATCATGGTTTTGGCGGTTGAAATACACTTAGTGATAGATAATTGTATTTTTTATTGTTGGTGTGATTTGTAGAGGAAAAATTAGATAAAACGAACTATAATTTGTTTTTTTTTTCAAAACGATAGATATAATTATAAATCAAAAGTACACAAATGTGCAAATACAAGCAGCTCCTAGCTGAATGAGAGCAGCCAACAACTGAAAAGTGGGAGGACAGGTCAGAAACCGCCTAGAATCCCGACTAGCAATGCTAGAATAAAAACTCACAACTAAACTAACCAACAAATCGAACAACTAAAACAACTAAAAAAGCCCCCAACAGGGTAATGCCCGAGTGTCGGATCTCAACAGGATAAGTAGGTGACACTCAGGTGCACAGAGGCCAACGGCCCCGACAAAAAACACAATCCTAAATAACACTGATAACAGAAACACAGACCAACAAAAACTAAACCAGAAACAAATTAAAACGAGAAAAACACAAGCAGCTAATGAAAAAGACAGTCCTCCCTCAGCAGCTACAACCGAGCTTTAAAGCAGACGAAGTCGACGCCAAGAAAAGCTCCGATGCTCAGGAGCCACGCCCGCCACTGCAGAAGGCCTAGCAAAGACGATGACCAAAGCCGCAAAACAATCCGAGAAAGCCTACCCATATACCAGCCTCAAGAAATCACAATTTCCCCAATCGGCTAACACCACTAGCCAAATTTGGCACCATCCCGGCATCACCTAACACCACTAGCCAATCCTGGGAGTAGTCATCCTCCTGCAATCTCAGAGAGAGAAGAAGAGGAAGGAGGTGAATGACTTCAATGTTCTGGCCGCTCAGACATAGCCCAATAGCAAGACCTTCACTCGACCCAGCCGACAAAGGTGAACTCCAACTATTCTCTCCTGAGCCGCCAAGAAACCAGCGGCCGAGGACGAGAGACGACCCCAGAAAACGAGAGAACAGAGGCAGAGCCCACCTCCCCAACCTAAGAGCAGCGACCCCTCGACCAAAGCCGACCCAAGCAGCCCAAAATTGCACCCATGAACTGGCCCCACACCCCTCCAAACTTCGACACCGTGGGAAGCCAGCGAAAATCGCACAGAACAAACCATGCCGAAACCCTAGCAAACCCGACGACAGAAGACGGAAAAGGGGAAATCACGGCAGACCATGGATGGGAGGCGGATGTCGTCTGCCAACGAACCCTGAAGACTACCGAGGGAGCACCTACCGACAATTATTGACAGGGAAGACGAAAATTGAGCGGTGCGATTTGGGGGAAGAGTTTATCAGCGAGAGAGCGTATTTTGCTAATTGAAAATCCCTTGGCCTGGAGATAATGTGTTGCTCAACTATAATTTTTAAAGAGTTCCTTATGCTTATTTAGGCAAAATTGCATCAAAATACACCGCCTTTCAAAGTTTTCAATTAAGTACACCAACTTTAGGCATTTGGCAAATCGAAGTATGCAAAACGAAAATCGACAGATGATTTCTGACGTGGCATCATCGGAAACACACGTGGAAATAAAAAGCACGCATGGAACTCCGCATATAACATACAAAATCCACGTTCTACAAATACAAAAACCCCATATCCACGTGGAAATCAGAAACACAAATATAAATACGAAACCCCCAAATCCCAATTCAGTTTTATGAATTGATGAGAAAATCACAAATTAAGAACTCTAACTTCAATTTTTCAATTATGTAGAATGCATACTAATTCTTTGCTAAGAATCTGGCTACTCTGAAGATGTCGTGTGGACCATGTGGTAGTGGAGGTCGTGGTTCAACTTCAAAATTAGCCCCTGAAGTTTACGACCTTATGTGCTTCCACAGCCTCGAAGCAGATCTCTTGACCTAAAAAACCGATAAGAATCCGGCTATGAGGTATTATTGATGTCGTCTCAGAAATATAAGAACTGATTTTCTTATTTGAAAAATAAAATATACATTGGTTATGTAGTATTTGAATTAATTTTACATATTGGATTTTTCTACGGTAAAGGTATGAACTTTTATGAGTAGAATATGCATTCATCCTCGTAGGCTATGGATTATGTGATTTCGTTGTTGATTGCGTGAGCGAGAATTGATTGAGAGCTCGATTAATTGATTCACGAGTGACGATTGTTTGATTGCATGTTCTCGAACCTATGAGTGCATTCTTTCCATCTTGGATCTTAGGACACTTTGTTATTTTTCTATCTACTTTTCTTTTTTCTTGCGAAATTGAGGTTTTGCTTGTGCTAAAGTTCGAATCTTGCTTTCATTCTAGTGTAAGTTGCGATCTTTAGCTTTAAAAAACCACCAATCATGCGAGTAGAATGTTTAGGATCTTTATTTTCCTTTTCTTTGTGTTAGTCGATCATTGTCTGAATTCGTGTCCGAACGATCTTTCTCGAGAGACACGACCCAAGGTCGAAATTTATCTCGTAATCGGCTA